GATATTATATGTGGATGACATATTATTGATTGGAAATGATATAGAATTTCTGGATAGCATAAAGGGATACTTGAATAAGAGTTTTTCAATGAAAGACCTCGGTGAAGCTGCTTACATATTAGGCATTAAGATCTATAGAGATAGATCAAGACACTTAACTGGACTTTCACAAAGCACATACCTTGACAAGGTTTTGAAGAAGTTCAAAATAGATCAAGCAAAGAAAGGGTTCTTGTCTGTGTTACAAGGTGTGAAGTTGAGTAAGACTCAATGTCCGACCACCGCAGAAGATAGAGAGAAAATGAAAGATGTTCCCTATGCTTAAACCATAGGCTCTATCATGTATACAATATTGTGTACCAGACCTGATGTGTGCCTTGCTATAAGTCTAGCAGGGAGGTACCAAAGTAATCCAGGAGTGGATCACTGGATAGCGGTCAAGAACATCCTGAAATACCTGAAAAGGATTAAGAATATGTTTCTCGTATATGGAGGTGACAAAGAGCTCATCGTAAATGGTTACGTTGATGCAAGCTTTGACACTGATCCGGACGATTCTAAATCGCAAACCGGATACGTGTTTTTACTGAATGGTGGAGCTGTCAGTTGGTGTAGTTCTAAACAAAGCATCGTGGCGGGATCTACATATGAAGCGGAGTACATAGCTGCTTCGAAGGCAGCAAATGAAGGAGTCTGGATGAAGGAGTTCATATCCGATCTAGGTGTCATACCTAGTGCATCGGGTCCAATGAAAATCTTTTGTGACAATACTGGTGCAATTGCCTTGGCGAAGGAATCCAGATTTCACAAAAAAACCAAACACATCAAGAGACGCTTCAATTCCATTCAGGATTTAGTCCAAGTGGGAAACATAGAAATTTGCAAGATACATACGGATCTGAATGTTGCAGACCCGCTGACTAAGCCTCTTCCACGAGCAAAACATGATCAGCACCAAGGCTCCATGGGTGTTAGAATCATTACTGTGTAATTTAGATTATTGACTCTAGTGCAAGTGGGAGACTGAAGGAAATATGCCCTAGAGGCAATAATAAAGTTATTATTTATTTCCTTATATCATGATAAATGTTTATTATTCATGCTAGAATTGTATTAACCGGAAACATAATACATGTGTGAATACATAGACAAAAAACAGAGAGTCACTAGTATGCCTCTACTTGACTAGCTCGTTAATCAAAGATGGTTATGTTTCCTAACCATAGATATGAGTTGTCATTTGATTAACGGGATCACATCATTAGGAGAATGATGTGATTGAGTTAACCATTCCGTTAGCTTAGCACTTGATCGTTTAGTTTGTTGCTATTGCTTTTAGGGATGGCACCCGCAGGGTTTGGGTACGGGTGGAGCCACCCCATACCCTTACCCATCCTCTCTGAGCTTACCCATCACACTTACCCATACCCATCATGGGTATAATTTTTTCCCATACCCGTTACTGATAGGGTACATGGGTACCCATGGGTAGAATTACCCATGTTTGCAAAGCATTAGTTTGAACTACTCATAGTCATAAAAACAACATATAATTATAATTTATAAACAACAATAGATTATAACAACAACAACAACACACTTTTAAACAACAACACATCATAAACAACATCATATTTAAAAAACAACATCACTTTCTCATAAACAACAACACATCAAAACATTATCACACAGTCATATATTTTGAGTTCACAAATTCATGATAAAGTGTAGAGATAATTTTGAGTTCATATAGATTTTATATGGGTACATGGGTATGTGGATATGGGTTACATGATCCCATACTCGTACCCACTCTACCCGATGGGTTTAACATTTCCCTATTCATATACCCATGGATAATTTTTTGTCCCATACCCTTACCCTAATAGGGTTTTTACCCGCAGGGTACGTGGGTAATGGGTACCCATTGCCATCCCTAATTGCTTTCTTCATAACTTATACATGTTCCTATGACTATGAGATTATGCAACTCCAGTTTACCGGAGGAACACTTTGTGTGCTACCAAACGTCACAATGTAACTGGGTGATTATAAAGATGCTCTACAGGTGTCTCCGAAGGTACTTGTTGGGTTGGCGTATTTCGAGATTAGGATTTGTCACTCCGATTGTCGGAGAGGTATCTCTGGGCCATCTCGGTAATGCACATCACTCAAGCCTTGCAAGCACTGCAACTAATAAGTTAGTTGCAGGATGATGTATTACGAAACGAGTAAAGAGACTTGCCGGTAACAAGATTGAACTAGGTATTAAGATACCGACGATCGAATCTCGGGCAAGTAACATACCGATGACAAAGGGAACAACGTATGTTGTTATGCGGTCTGACCGATAAAGATCTTCATAGAATATGTAGGAGCCAATATGAGCATCCAGGTTCCGCTATTGGTTATTGACCGGAGACGTGTCTCGGTCATGTCTACATAGTTCTCGAACCCGTAGGGTCCGCACGCTTAAAGTTCGGTGACGATCGTAATTAGGGTTTTTGTGTTTTGATGTACCGAAGGTTATTCGGAGTCCCGGATGTGATCACGGACATGACGAGGAGTCTCGAAATGGTCGAGACATAAAGATTGATATATTGGAAGCCTATATTTGAATATCGGAAACGTTCCGGGTGAAATCAGGATTTTACCGGAGTACCGGGGGGTTACCGAAACCCCCCGGGGGTTATTGGGCCTACATGGGCCATAAGGGAGAAGAGGAGGGCCGGCCAGGGCAGGCCGCGCGCCCCCTCCCCCCTAGTCCGAATAGGACAAGGAAGGGGGGGGGGGCGGCGCCCCCCTTTCCTCTTTCTCCCTTCCTCCTTCCTTTTCCAACAAGGCAAGAGGGGGGAGTCCTACTCCCGGTTGGAGTAGGACTCCTCCAGGCGCACCCATAGGGCCGGCCGCACCTCCCCCTCCTTTATATACTGAGGCAAGGGGCACCCCATGACACACAAGTTGATCCTCGTGATCGTTCCTTAGCCGTGTGTGGTGCCCCCTTCCACCATATTCCACCTCGGTCATATCGTAGCAGTGCTTAGGCGAAGCCCTGCGTCGGTAGAACATCATCACCGTCATCACGCCGTCGTGCTGACAAAACTCTCCCTCAACGTTTTGCTGGATCGGAACTCGAGGGACGTCACCGAGTTGAACGTGTGCAGAACTCGGAGGTGCCGTACGTTCGGTACTTGGATCGGTCGGATCGGGAAGACGTACAACTACTTCCTCTATGTTGTGTCAATACTTCCGTTGCCGGTCTACGAGGGTACGTAGACAACACTCTCACCTCTCGTTGCTATGCATCACCATGATCTTGCGTGTGCGTAGGTAATTTTTTGAAATTACTACGTTCCCCGACAAAATGCATAGTTATAACAAGAACATATGGAGGGTGAGGTGTAAATATTACACTCCTACATAAGACCAACGCCTAGTTGCAACGATAAAAGGGGGCCATAAGCTTCATTGGGCCACTTTTAAAAGACTTGGCCATTAAAATGATATAAAAAAGACATTCATGCCAGACGTAAAAGGGTAATAATAAACTAAACACGTGATCTAGTGAATGCAAGCAACTACATTGAAGGAGAAGAAATCATGAATGTTCTTACATTGTTTGTGGGATGATGATCCGGGCATTACATGTCGAGGGCTCCTGCTAAATTGTCCATTTTAGAAAAAAAACATTACGCCAATTCAAAATCTACATGATTTCACAAATTGTATGCCTGCCTCCTTTGCTCTAACTATAATGTCAACTCTCATTGTTGATCACTATCACCAAAAAGAAGGCTCGAAGAGCAGAAGGATGGCAAGGAAAATAGGTAGTATAATGTGTGAAGTAGAAAACACCAGAAAACCTACTACATGATGATACACTTGGTGCGGGGCAGCTATGATTTTTTTTAAATGGTTAAAGCAAATTAATAGGTGCGGGTTCTCATTTTCTAGGACACAATGAAAATATAAGCACGTTGATTATGGTTTTAGGGAGCAAATATGCAAATAACACATACTACTACTGCACCTTTTAAATAAAGTCAACCTGTCAGATTTATAGGTAAAGAAAACAAATGTGACATCCACAACAATGCCACGTAACCGGCTATACTTCTCTTATCGTATTTTCTCTTAGGGTGCTTTTAGGGTCAAATTCATGGTCATCGCCAAATATAAACACTACACCCAACATGAAGCGTCACTAGAGGTAAATACATGAAAATTGTTTTAGTCAAGTATATATGGTGTAGTTGTTACCATATCTCGTATAAAAAAGGTTAGGAGAGCCCATGGAAGTCGAGGCATGAATATAGGTTTCTACATAACATCGACACATAGTTGCAACGGGAGAACGAGAACACAAGTGTTGTGGGAGTAGTATAAATTACAGTAAGAAATTATCACATTGTTAAAATAACCCCGATATTATGTCATAATGCCAGGGTCTTGGTAGGAAAAGCAAACAAACGCGCGCTCTCCCACTTCAACTCCGCCACCTCCCCCACCCTCCTTGCTCCAGGCCCTGCTTCGACTTCGAACGAAACAGTAAAACAAACCGCAACGAATCGGCGGCGGGGGTGCGCCGAATGGCGGTGGTGCCCGCGCCGCCTCTCCCCTCCCCGCCGCGCCCCAGCCCCACCGAATCGAAGCGGAATAGAACAACTCCACCGCGCGCCCACTTGACAAATTTCCTATCCGATTCGAATCGGCGCGGAGCTCGTGCTCCTGCCCGCGCCCGCCCCCGCCGCGCGCGCAGGTCCAAACCCAACCCTAGCCCCCCACCACCCCCACCACCACCCTACCAGATCCGGAGATCCCGCGCGGCCACGGACGCGAATCGGCGCCCACAATGGCGGGCCTAGTGGCGCCACCCTGATCCCCCCGATCCGGCCCGCCGCTTGCTGCCCCCCGCGCCGCCGATGGACTCCGCCCGGAGCTGGCTGCAGAAGCTGCAGAAGGACAAGGCCAGGCCGGGCGCGTCGCCACTCGGCGCCGGGATGGCCGGGGACGACGAGGACGAGCCGGTGCTGTCCAGCGCCACCAAGCAGAAGGTGGAGGCCGCCAAGCAGTGCATCGAGAACCACTACAAGGCGCAGATGAGGTCGCTCCAGGAGCGCAAGGAGAGGTCAGTCGCTCGCTGCCTTCGCTCGGTGCTCTCCCTGCTCCCGCGGATCACGCGGTCTGGTCTGGTGGATCGCCTGCTCAAGCGGGCTAGGATTTCGGCGTGGAATTGGCAATGTGTGTGAGCTGGGCTTGATCCCTGGGTGTCCTGGTGGGGAGGTATCAGATCAGTAGGCAGTAGCCTCGAGCTGGCGTCCTGTTTGGGCACGGGTCATCAGTGTCTCTCTTTTAAGCTGGCTGCATCGTGGTGGAATTATGCTGACTTCACAATGAGTTGGGTTGGGATCTGGTGGGTGTCCTGGTGCAGAGGTATCAGATCAGTAGCCACAAACTGGCGCCCTGTTTAGTCGATTCGTTGCGCGCTCCGTTTGTTTGTCGTGATCTGTGTCCAAGGCTCTTCTAAGCTGGCTGCTGTCATGGTAGCATTGTGCAACCGACTTCGCAACTCGCAGACTAGCCGTTGCTGTTGACTATTGAATGCTGTACTGGTGTTGCCGTACTAGTGTTATGCGCCTGGCGCTTATGATGCAGATGTCTAATTTTGGATGTGCTGCATGGCATGTGACCGCCTCCGCCTAATTTTGGACGATAGTTGTGCTCTTGCAATTCTATGCCTGTGCATTTAGTTTATATATGCTCCCTTGATGGTAGCATTACTTTGCCAGGATTCTGGTGGGAAAATGATTGAAAATTTGGGATAACTAAAGATAACGCCGCACTGCATGGCATTGCAGAAGTTGATATGCATGGCTGTAGTTCTGTGGAGTAAAGTGGTGCGTCACTTGGAGCAAAATAGGGTGGAAACTGGTAATGGTGAAGCACTTCCTTTTTTGGACCAAACTTTAATGTGCCGATTGACCTAATTGTTGCTTGTGCGCTCTACAACAGAGTTTACATAAGTGCTCTATAATAATGAGGTTACCATAAGTGATAAGCGCCGTAAATCGATGTCCATTTACTAAACTTAATTGGACCAGGAAACATTCAGAATAAATATTGCTGTATATATACCTGTGCCTGCGGATCACGTGGTCTGGTGGATCGCCTGCTGAAGAGGGCCAGGATTCTGGTGTTGAATTGGCAGTTTGTGTGAGTTGGGCTTGAACTGTGGGTGTTCTGGTGCGGAGGTATTAATTCGTAACCGCCCTCGATTTGGTTGAGTAGTTGCGCCCTCGATTTGTTTGTCGTGATCTGTGCCCTAGTCTCTTCCAAGCTGGCTGCGTCATAGTGGAATTGTGCTGCCGTGTCAGGTCTATGGCACCTGTAGTCTCTGTTTCTTCAGTTAACAAGATGAAGTTCAGCCAATGGACGGCTATGATGGATGATGGCGAGAAGGATTCAACGGCTCGCTCCCTCCCTTTTACCTAATGCGCTGTGTATTTTCCTATTGTCGTGTTGTAGCTTTATTCCGTTTTCATAGCTGTCTATAAGATACCAAGCACGTGGCTTTAATGAATCATTCCTGAATGTGAGATCTCTCTCAACAAACACATACAACATATATCATGTAGAGATGAATATTCCTCCAGGCATACAGTTTTCCTCTTGCGATCCATCTTGGAGCCCTAATTCCTAGTTCAACCCCTCTGATCCACAACTGGGTGTGACATGCTGACCTCACAACTTGCAGAGTAGTAGTTACTGTTGACTTTTGTGTGTGGTCCTGTCATCGCCGTACTAGTATGCACCTGGTGCTTAGGATGCAGATGTCTAATTTTGGATGTGTTGAATGACATGTGACAGCTGCCTCCTAATTTTGGACGGGGAGGTGGATTCCTGCAATTCTATGGCTGTGCATTTAGTTAGTGTTAGTGTTACCAAACTTGATATATGTGAGTTTTTGATGTCAGCATAATATTGCCAGGATTGTGGAGGGAAAATTATTATAATTTTGGGATAAGACAAGATAAAGCTGCACTGCATAGCAACGCAGAAGTTGGTGTGCATATCTGTAGTGCTGTGCAGTAAAAATAGGGTTGAAGTAGGTAAGGTAGGTGTGTCATTTAGACCAAAATAGGATGGAAGCTGGTAAATGGTTTATCACCTTCTGTTTTGGACCAAAATCCGATATGCTGATTGACCTAATTGTTGTTGGTATGTTCTACAACAAAGTTTACACACATGTTCTATAATAATTGCATGTATTAATTGAACAGGGAGCATTCAATATAAATTGTTGCTGTATATATGCCTTAAATTGTTCATTCCCACAATGCCTATACGAGCTATTGTACTTGATAAAAGCAATGCATTATGATGCTGTAAATTTTGAGAACTATGCTCGAAGTTGCTAAAGGAAGATGGCATGCAAGAAAATATCTCTAGCGTAAAGAGTACAGAGGCTGTTCACGGGGTCCTTATAGCCATAGTTTGTGCTTGTCTGCATTTATTCCCTTGTGACCTGCTGGTGAAACCGCTTTATGTTGGTTGTGTCTAAGCATGGTTTGCATGTCATTGAATGTCTGTTCTGGACTTCTTGTTTGGTGCCATTCATCACTGCATCTTAATATATAGTTATGTTGTAGGCGTTGGATGCTGGAGAAGAAGCTTGCTGATGCTGATGTATCTGAAGAGGAGCAAAACAATATCCTGAAGGATTTAGAAAAAAAGGAGACAGAATACATGCGCCTAAGGAGGCACAAAATGGGCGTTGATGATTTTGAATTGCTGACCATTATTGGGAGAGGTGCTTTTGGGGAGGTGATAAAGGCTCTTTTTCTTTTCTCGAGGGATCTTTATTCATCGTATTTTGCTACTGCTTACCTCTGCTTTATACTGATATATTCTGCAGGTGAGACTTTGTAGAGAAAAAGCTACATCCAATGTATATGCAATGAAAAAGCTCAAGAAGTCTGAAATGTTACGAAGAGGCCAGGTACTTCGTTTGCTTACTTGAGTATTAAATCAGGGTGTGTGGCAAAATGTTCTATTTTCTAATGTGTTCTTTCTAGGTTGAGCATGTGAGAGCTGAAAGGAACCTCCTTGCAGAAGTTGATAGTGCTTATATAGTTAAGCTCTACTGCTCATTCCAAGATGATGAGTTTCTATACCTCGTTATGGAGTACCTTCCTGGTGGTGACATGATGACTCTGCTCATGCGAAAGGATACACTTACAGAGGACGAGTCTTCATTTTATGTTGCAGAGACAATACTAGCAATTGAATCCATTCACAAGCATAACTATATTCATAGGTAATAGATTAACACCATTAAGTGTATAGTAATTGCAACATGCAGCTAACTCTTTGTTACATCTTTTCAGGGATATCAAGCCTGACAATTTATTGTTAGATCGAACTGGCCATCTGAAGCTTTCAGATTTCGGCCTATGCAAGCCTCTAGATAGTAGCAGCTTTCCAAATCTCACTGAACTTGACAATGCAGCGGGGAATATCACCAATACATCAGCAGATGGTGATAAGCTATTAAGTAGCACTGCTGTTCCCAGGCGAACACAGCAGGAACAACTATTGCATTGGCAGAAGAATCGCCGGATGTTGGTAAGTTATATACTTGCTTATAAAAGGAGAAACATTCCACTTATAACATTGTGGTGGTTACTGCAACTCAAACATTGACTAAGACTACTGTCTAGTAGACTAATAGATTGGTTCCTGTCATCTAGCGATGTGCTGCTTAATTCTTATGCATTCCCTAGTAGGGAGTTCTAGGTCCAACAATTTGCACACGTACATTTCTAGCGGAATAGTTGTAAGTCATAAAGAGGCAAGCATGGACAGAAGCATCCCATTCAATGTGGCTATAAGAAGTCAAGAACATCCAGGCGTTCTCAACGTGAAACATACTGCATGAGTGATGAAAAACCATTCTAAGATTTTAATGCATTTGTCATTTAACCTGCGGCATTACATGGTGAAAATTTATACAGCCTAACATGGAAATGAATTTCTCCAATATGTTGTATTAGCATATGAAATCCATTTAAATGATAGGATGTTTAAATAAAGTTTCTAAGCAGATAACATAGCCGCCATTTGTTTGACACCCAATAGCAGCTGTGTCTTAGCTGTGTGTACTACCATTGCTCTGGCTCTGTAATATTTTACTCCCTCTGTAAAGAAACATAAGAGCTTTTAGATCACTAAAATAGTATTCTAAATGCTCTTATATTTCTTTACGGAGGGAGTACATGATATCACTGCCTTGGCTCTACATTCATTTATATATGCTGTTTACTGGAATTTCAGGCTTATTCAACTGTTGGTACACCTGATTACATTGCCCCGGAAGTCCTATTGAAGAAAGGATATGGAATGGAATGTGACTGGTTAGTTTTGTCCTTCTTATGCAATGCATGACTAAATTATGATGTTTTGTTTCTCACATTTACATTTTATAGGTGGTCACTTGGGGCCATTATGTATGAGATGCTTGTGGGTTACCCACCATTTTATTCTGAAGACCCAATGTCAACATGTAGGAAGGTAAATTTGAATGCTGTTTTTACATCAATTATGGTGCCATACGCTTTCATAAGAATTGTGCTTTTCTATGTGAATTCTTGTTACCATTGAGTGGGCCCAATCATGCAGATAGTAAATTGGAGAAGCCATCTTAAATTTCCTGAAGAGGCCAGACTTTCTCCAGAAGCTAAAGATCTAATTAATAAGCTATTATGTAATGTGGATCAGAGACTTGGGATGAAAGGAGCACATGAGATAAAGGTAAAAATTGTTCAAATTAATTGTTTTCACTTTAGTTTTGAATTTATAATCATTCATGATCCTTCCTACAGGCTCATCCATGGTTTAGAAGTGTTGAATGGGAAAAGCTATATCAAATGGAAGCAGCTTTCATACCTGAAGTTATTGATGAGTTGGACACACAAAACTTCGAGAATTTTGAGGAGGTGAGTTTCAAGCTACTTAGGCTAGTCTCTAGTTCTCAAGTAGTTAACCTGATATACGACAAGGTACCGAGATACCTATAAGCCATGTTTCCCATAAATAAGAATATCATAAAAAAGGCTATTAGCATGAGAAACTGAGATCTACTTATCTGGGCAATAAATACCATAAGTTGGAGCTTCTAGTTGTAAATTGCAACTTGCTACTGAACAGACCAACAGGTTATGCTGATGCTGGCCTGCTGTTGGTTGTGAAGGAGGCTTGTCAAGACAGAGTGGTGGCAGTCAGGAGGGAAGATGTGACAGTAGGTGAGAGTCGCCATTAGCTGGTCTTGATCAAGGATGTGTTGGGCTGAACAACAGCTGAATTTTGGGAGGAAGGGAGGAGGCGACAATGGTAGAAGAGAGCCGATGCTGTCCGGCTTTAGCCCAAAGTAGGACGTGCCATCCGGTGGGGGCAGCATAGAGCAGGGCAGATAGAGGATTTACTTTATAATTTATGGTGCGCATTTGGATTGTCTCGGTAGTTGACTTCAATTTGCTTGGAAACGGTATGGTATGCAGACTAGTGCGCAATCTCAAAATGCAAAAAGATAGTTTTTTACATGAAAACTTTTAATGGTGTAGATGCATGAATATTCTTTGATATCCTTTTTTTTTTAATTTTTTTTCTGGAGTGAACTGCCGGACCTATAAATCAACATCACTCCAACAAACAACAGAATTATAGTAATTACAATTGGTTTTCATGAACACATGAGCCATCTCATTAGCAGAACTATGGGCCTGTATTACTGCATTATTTGATACAAGGGAACTGAGCTTGTGGCATCTGACTGAACCTGTAGGTGTTAATCATACTGGGGTCTTTTCAGGAATAGGTCAAAAGAATCAGTTCTATGTATTTGCAGGGAAACATGCTATGCTTCCTGTTTAGCTTATATTATGAAAAATATACTGTGAGATGGCCGGAAATGGTACATTGGCTGGTGCAAATATTATCTTGGTTCTTGTCATCTGTTCTATTCAATGTGTACTGACGGTTTTGCATCTGGTGTTCTTCCAGGCTGCGCCTACCATGCAAACTTCATCAAAGGCAGGTCCTTGGAGAAAGGTACTTACTACAAAGATCAATTGAATACAATATCCTTTTGGTGTTCTGCGTTGTCAAAAGACCTCCAGAGCATTTTTAGTGCATGGTTTTCAGCGAAATGTTACTGCACTTAGAATTGAATTTTGATCCCTGATATTTTATTCTCTAGCATTCCTTTCCTTTCACTACATGATCTAGGTCCTGAGCCAATGTTCGTTTGTGCAGATGCTTTCCTCCAAGGACATGAATTTTGTCGGTTATACTTACAAGAACTTCGAAATAGTGAATGATCCTGAACTTCCAGGAATAGGTTGGATATATTTCCTTTCCTGCTCACTTGTTTCTCGTTGTGTTCTTCGCAAAAAGTGGCTTGGGCATATTTTTTTGCACAATGCATTATTCGTGATTTTCTTGTTTGGCTTTGCAGCTGAATTAAAGAAGAAGAACAACAAACCAAAACGACCAACCATCAAATCATTATTTGGTAATTTTTTCAGAGTCCTTGCTCTCTTAAGGTATTGGGTTCAAACAATGTCATAAACTCATAATATTAATGATTCATCCACTGACATCTGTACAGAGTGTGCTGAAAGTGACGATCAGCCTGAAGGCAGTCTTTTGGGCCCATTGCCGCCTCAGCTAGAGTTGCCTGAGAGCCCCTCGCCTCATTCCAGTATCTCCTCCGAAGATTCCCAAGCACAACACAGATAACAGGTGTGTGTTTTCTGCTACCCGTCTCCCATAAATGAAAGCAGAAAATCACCCACAGAATCTGGGTCCTTTGCATATGGACAGATGGCAGCCTGCTCAAGTGGCTGTTTTAAAGGGCAAATCTTAGAGTATCTATAAGACCGTGGATTTTGCTCTCGTGCAGCTGTTTGAAGTCAAGTCATTGTGTATGTTGGAGCTCCAGGTCATCCTGTACATTGTTACCTCATTTGTTTCCTGACGAATCCATAGTCCTGAGCAGGTTTGGTTGACACAGAGAGCCAGGCTATCTGCTGTAAATTCATGGATGGATCCTGTGCAGGGACGAGGTTCGTTGCATTCGTTGGAACATGTCATGGTATGCTGCCTGGTTTTTTTTGGCGCAGAAATCTGCATTTCCGCGTTCCTGTCGTAAGATTTGCGACAACGTAAAGAAGTTCATCGAGGAACGAGCAACTTGTACCATCAAGGATACCCTGTAAAAGAATGCTCACTTTTGCCTTCTATTATAGCTATAAATTGTTCTTCTGTCTATATATGCCCATTATTTTCATGTCGATGTATACTGTTAGGCATGGTTATGTCCTTGAGCAAGTGGCTTGTGTACCTAAAATCCTGTTGCTTGGAACAGAGCGCACTGCTATTACATGATCATCGTCTGCGCTCTCTTTGGTTATCTTAGCAACCACGCTTAGCCTTAATTATGTTGGAATAATTATGCATCTCCGGGATGCCATTAGCAGGAACTGATTGCATCTAGATCACCTAAAAGCATGAACAGAGAAGGGTTTAGGGGATCATTACATGTCACGGCAGTGGACATGATTGCCTGCTTGGTGCAGGCTTGATGCAGGGGTGATGTAGTCGAAGTAGAGGTTCTCCTCGACGTCCTGATTCCTTCAGGGCGCCACCGGCACTGCCCAGGGGCAGCGGCGGCGGCTGGCTTAGGTCTTCCCGTCGCTGCAGCACTCCCCCTGATCGGATGGGGTGAGAGAATATCGGGAGGAGAGTAAACCTTACGTGAATTGTGATCTCGCAGGTGCCCAACTCTCTCCCGTATCCCTTTTAATATGGCGCTAGCGACAGGGGACCCAAAACCTGAGTTGGTTTTTGGGGGTTGGGCGCCCCCGATTAGGGCGCGTTAGTTCTGATCGAGGCTCACGTACGTTGGTACGTGGACCCCTTCACTTATCGTTATCCCTTCATCTTTTTTTTTCTTCTTCTGTTAGACTAATAGATCTAACGGGTCTGTTTAAGCCGTCAGATCAAAACCAACATTCTCCCCCTTGATCATTAGGCTTAACTTCATTCGCCCATTCTACATAGGAATGATGTACCAAAGTGAGGTGTCACTACAACTCGAAACGCCATGGAACCTCAACACTTATAGCACACCCGCCTATTTCGAAATGGAAAAACATTTTGCTAATTGGGGAGTGGTTCATTTTAATGGTCCTCTTATTCCAGAATCATAAGGCTTCCAGTAGTCCCATGCCGGCAACATGCTCACGAAAAATACTAGGTGGTAAGCCTTTTGTTAGCGGATCCGCAAGCATATGCTTCGTTCTTATGTGTTTAACATCAACTGTTTGATCCTGGATTCTATCTTTCACAACACGATACTTTATGTCAATGTGTCTGGCAGCATCACTTGACCTGTTGTTACTCGTATAGAAAACTGCGGGTTCATTATCGCAGTATAATAAAATTGGTTTAGATATGCTGTCAACCACTTTAAGTCCGGGTATAAAATTCTTTAGCCATACAGCCTGCCCGGTGGCCTCATAACATGCTACAAATTCTGCTTGCATCGTAGATCCAGCAGTTAACGTTTGTTTGGAGCTTTTCCACGATATAGCTCCTCCCGCGAGTGTGAATATATAACCTGACGTGGATCTCATACTATCCACACACCCGGCAAAATCAGAGTCTGAATAACCAATAATTTCTAGGTTATCAGTTCTTTTATATGTAAGCATGAAGTCCTTAGTTCCTTGCATATAACGCAAGACTTTCTTTGCGGCCTTCCAGTGGTCCGGTCCTGGATTTGATTGGTATCTGCCAAGCACCCCGGTTACAAAACATAAGTCTGGACGTGTACACACTTGAGCATACATGATGCTTCCAACAGCTGAAGCATAAGGAACCGACTTCATCTGATCAGTTTCACATTGGTTCCTCGGACATTGAAATGTCCCAAACTTATCACCCTTAACTATAGGAGCAGGTGAGGGTGAGCACTTATGCATATTGAATTTTTTCAGTACTCTCTCAAAGTATGCCTTTTGAGATAGTCCTAACGTTCCTCTGGACCTATCTCGATGAATCTCGATGCCGAGGACATACGAGGCTTCACCAAGATCTTTCATATCAAAACTGGATGACAGAAAATTCTTGGTCTCGTGCAGCATATCCTTATCGCTACATGCCAACAATATGTCATCAACGTATAGGACTAAAAATGTGAACCTACTGCCTTTAAACTTAACGTATATGCAGTTGTCCACAACATTTTCGGTGAAACCAAAAGTTTTGATAATTTTATCAAACTTGAGGTACCACTCTCTTGAAGCTTGCTTCAAGCCATAAATTGATTTCTTTAGACGACATGCTAAATGTTCCTTTCCTTCCACAACAAAGCCTTCTGGCTGAGCCATGTAGACATCTTCTTTTAAGTCATCATTTAGAAATGCCGTTTTAACATCCATTTGGTGTAGTTCCAGGTCGTAATGAGCTACTAATGCCATTATGATTCTGAAAGAATCCTTGGTTGACACAGGAGAGAAAGTTTGTTTATAATCAATGCCTTCTCTCTGTGTATACCCTTTTGCCACTAGCCTTGCCTTGAACCGTTCGACATTCCCTTTGGAATCATACTTGGTTTTGTAGACCCACTTGCAGCCTACTTCCTTAGCTCCATCGGGAACTTCTACTAAGTCCCATACATCGTTTGAGCCCATAGATTTCAACTCGTCTTCCATGGCAATCAACCATTTGGACAAATTTTCGCTTTTAATGGCTTCCTTATATGAGGTTGGATCCTCCACCTTTCCCATATCATTCATGTCCTCCATCAAAAAGGTGATATAATCATCTGATATGGCTTTCTTCCTCTCACGCCGTGGTCTACCCATGGGCGGAGGTGGTGGTGGAACATCATCATTTTCATTATTTTCTCGGAGATCCTCATTTGTGTTTGGATTCTCATTATTAGTTTCTGGATCACCATTCGACTGAGAGACTGAACCGTGAGATTCAGGATCATCAGATGTCACATTTCTTCGTATTGGAAAAACAATCTCTTGGATAGTCGGGGATGGTACACAAACCCGCTTCTCCTCAAGATCGATCTCCCTTAAATTTGTGATCTCATTATCCTCAAAAAATACCGCTTGTCTAGTCTCCACAAACTTGGTGGTGTGATTTGGACAATAAAAACGATATCCCTTTCCCCTATGAGGGTATCCTACGAAGAAACAGCTAACTGTTTTTGGATCCAATTTCTTAAGTTGTGGATTGAAAACTTTAGCTTCAGCAGGGCAACCCCACACCCGTAAGTAATTCAAGCTCGGTTTCTTTCCTGCCCACATCTCGTAAGGTGTGTTAGGTGCTGACTTAGTTGGAGCAAGATTTAGTATGTGTGCAGCTGTCTTTAATGCCTCTATCCAAAGGCTTACTGGTAAACTCGAGTGACTAAGCATGCTTCGCACCATATCCATAAGGGTGCGGTTGCGACGCTCGGCCACACCATTTTGTTGTGGTTCACCAGGCATTGAGTATTGAGCAATGATTCCATTTTCAGATAAGAACTTGGCAAAAGGTCCAGGAATCTGCCCATAAGGAGCATGCCTACCATAATACTCTCCCCCGCGATCAGACCGTACAACTTTGATTTTTTTGTTCAGTTGATTTTCAACCTCCGCTTTATAGACTTTGAATTTCTCCAAAGCTTCCGATCGGTCACGTATGGGATAAATATACCCATAGCGGGAAAAGTCATCTGTGAATGTAATGAACGAATCAAAACCATCTACAGACTTAATATTAAGGGGTCCACATATGTCGGTGTGAATTAATTCTAAAACCCTTGTGGCTCTAACTGCTCCTTTCTTAATTGTTTTTGCAAATTTTCCTTTAATGCAGTCGACACATTTGTCTGCATCTGAGAAGTCTAATGGGAGGAGTATTTCATTTTTAACTAAGTGTTCCATTCTCCCCCTCGAAATGTGGCCCAAACGACAATGCCACAATTTCGAAGAATTACTTACTCCTTTCCATTTCTTCTCAACATTAATTTCATCACTCACATGCATAACTGAATCATTATGAAGAGATAACATGTATAGTTGGCCTCGTCTAACACCGATGCCTACATTCTTATTACATTTGATCAAAGCAAATTGTTTCTTGCCAAAATGGCACTCATACATATCATCATCTAAACGAGAAACTGAAATCAAATTCCTACTTAAGGTAGGCACATAAATAACATTATTCAATCTAAGAGTGTGGCCAGTGTGTAGCTCCAACGTGAGAGATCCCACAACTTCAACATCGGCCTCAACTCCGTTCGCAACCTTAAGCTTTCTTGTTCCTCCTCTTATGGTTTGGATCGCATCGAATCCCTGCATAGAGTTAGCAACGTGAGTGGTTGCCCCTGAATCAATCCACCATGACTTTATTGAAAAATCAACATAAAGTGATTCATCTACAAAAGTAATTTCATCAATACCTCTTTTGTTCATCCATTTTAGAAAGCCTGGGCAGTCCCTTTGATAGTGTCCCTCTTCTTTGCAGAAGTTACAAGCATTTTCTCCAGCAGTGGAGCTGCTAGGAGCAGAAGAAGAACCACCGGCTTCTTTACCCTTGAATGCCTTAGGGTTGAATGGCTTAGTGCCTTCTTTCTTGACTTGCCTTTTCTGAGGCTTAGGGAAACCTTGTCCGTCATGCTTTCTCTTGTTAGAGCCAACATGAAAGACATGGTCTTTTTTCTGCCTCATGATCCTTTCTTCCTCCTGGACGATCCTTGCGGTCATCTCAGAGAGTGGCCATTTTTCCTTTAGAGAGTTATAGTTGACCTTAAATTGTTCAAACTCTTCAGGAAGAGACTCAAGAATAATTATGACAAGAAGGGCTTCACTTAAAGAACACTCCAAAGCCTTAAGCTTGGTGAAAGCATTTACCACCCTCAATATGTGCTGCCTAACATTTCCGTCAATAGTGTATTTCTGAAGAAGTTTAGCAAAAAGCTCATGAGCATACACTTTGTCGGAGCCTTTAAATTGCTCCTCCATTTCAGTGAGGAAATCTTTAGCAGTATCTTTCTTAGGGAGTGCTTAAAAAATGTCCGGCGATATTGTCGCTTTCATGATGAGAAGCGCAATATGGTTGGACTTATTCCACTTTTCCATCTTAACATCATACTCCTTCTTGAGTTCTGCATACCCTGTGACACCCGCCACAGGTGCCACAGGTTTTTCTTCCCTCAAGGCATAGTCAAATTCATTACAACCCAAACATAATTCGACTTGGGACTTCCAACGAGGGAAGTTACTCCCCGTAAGTGGTTCGATCGTGTCGGACCGAAATGGAGTGGAAGCTGAAATCATCATAAAAATTCATAAGTAAACTTGCATGATTATAAATTTACGTTGGTAAATAAACAAACATGCCAAGTATTTAATTTCAACTCCATGTCAAAACACCGTTGGGGAGAAAAAACATGGAATTAAAATATCATAGGGGATGACTCATAATAATAAAACAACGTTGGTCCGAATTAAAATTAGAGTCATTTCATTCTGAATTTAAACATCAACATAAAAGAAAATATCATTATTTTTTATGTCTAAAAATTCATCATGCAAACACATAATAAATTCTGAACAAAATATCTCGTTGGTTCAATTTTACCCAGAATAATAATGTGTTCATTATATTTTTAGGCATTTTCTGTTTTAAACAGTGCAAAACATAAAAGATATTAACTTATAGTGCACTGGAAAACACAGAAAAACGCGATGGCCCAAAATACCCACGGTTATACAGTGGCCCAAAAACCCAGCAGCGAAATCCATAAAGAGAAAAAAAAACGCGCTGGGCAACCTGGGCTGAAGCCTGTGGCCGAAAATGGCCCATTAAGTGCTCGCAGGCCCGCGCGGAGCCGAGCGTTGCTGCCAGCCATCCGATGGGAATCGACGGTCCGCGTCGATCGCGGCTGGAACAAAACAGCCGCCCGGCCAGAACCCTAGCACATTTCCCCCTTGACCCCCCACATTTCACGCTCGACAGGGAGCGGCGATGGCGTTCGACGGCGGCTCGAGGCGCGCCGGCCATGGCGGCGCGGCGGCTGCGCTCGCCGGAGGAGCGTGCAGCAGGATGAATCCCGCGCGCTGCTCCGTCGAGCGTGGCCCCGGCGTCCGCGCAGATGGCGCTTCGTTCGGTGGGTGAGGGGTGCGCCGGCCACCGCGGCTGTTGGGGTCGACGGCGACGTGCAGGGCGACGGCCCGTACACGCGCGCGTTCGTAAGTGCGGCGGCAAGGCGCAGGTGCATTCCGCGCGTCGGCCAGGGCACGACGGCGTCGCGGCGTCTCCGCCCTCGCGCAGCGGTGGGCGCTGTGCGGGATCCGAAAGGAAAAGGCGGCTACGCGACGCATTTGGTGAGGATTCTCCTCATTCTCCTCCAATTCGTGTGCATTAGTACTTGATTTGGGGGAAAAGTAGTCCTAATTGCAGAATTAGGGTTCTTGCGAATTGGGGATAAATTCTAGGGTTCTTAAACATGAGGGGTTGCTACTGTTGACTTGGGTGTATCCCTCTGCACAATATTTTGCTAATGCATATGGAAACAGTACTTAAGCATGATCAATTTTAATCAACTTAACATGAAGGTGAGCATAAGATCTTAACTTAGATTAATTAAAATTGATGAACATAGGTGGCAGTACTGATCCGTAGCAAATTAGTTTAAAACATGATGATCTACAGAGGGCAACAAGGCAGTAGCATGCATATTTGGGCTAACCAAGGGCTAAAACTTTCAATCTAGATCATGAACCCTAGACCTGACATTGATCTAAACATGATAGTGATCTACTGATCAACAATAAAGGGATCTATTGCAATCAAGATTGGCGACTGATACCATTGTTGGAATAATTATGCATCTCCGGGATGCCATTAGCAGGAACTGATTGCATCTAGATCACCTAAAAGCATGAACAGAGAAGGGTTTAGGGGATCATTACATGTCACGGCAGTGGACATGATTGCCTGCTTGGTGCAGGCTTGATGCAGGGGTGATGTAGTCGAAGTAGAGGTTCTCCTCGACGTCCTGATTCCTTCAGGGCGCCACCGGCACTGCCCAGGGGCAGCGGCAGCGGCTGGCTTAGGTCTTCCCGTCGCTGCAGCACTCCCCCTGATCGGATGGGGTGAGAGAATATCGGGACGAGAGTAAACCTTACGTGAATTGTGATCTCGCAGGTGCCCAACTCTCTCCCGTATCCCTTTTAATATGGCGCTGGCGACAGGGGACCCAAAACCTGAGTTGGTTTTTGGGCGCCCCCGATCAGGGCGCGTTAGTTCTGATCGAGGCTCACGTACGTTGGTACGTGGACCTCTTCACTTATCGTTATCCCTTCATCTTTTTTTCTTCTTCTTCTGTTAGACTAATAGATCTAACGGGTGTGTTTAAGCCGTCAGATCAAAACCAACAAATTAATCACCACTAAACACAAGATGTACTAATTAACCAACAACTTAATCCACCCAGCAGCGCATCAATGGATGACGGCCCCAGTCAGGTCAAGCCCTACCTACATCTGCACTCCCATTAAGAACTAGGCCAACCCCCATGCAAGTGCGGTGAGAGCACTGATGGGCTACCTCACTTGCCTCCCGCGACGTGCCACCCTCCCCCTCTAACCCCTCCCCACCAACACGACCCAACACGTACTTACGTACCACATCTGCACCTAATTAACCACGCTCTCGGCCTGCGGATCAGATCATCCACCTCCCAGTCTGGTTTCCGCGCGCGCGTGCGTGCGTGCGTGCGTGCATGGACAGGCTGAGGAGCGTGGTGCTGCGCAGGTGCAAGAGCCTGTCGCGGGCGGGGAGCAGGCGGGCGTCCTCCTCCAGCTCCTACAGCAACCTCCGCTCCATGTCGGCCAGGGACGCCGCCGCCGGCGAGGACAGCGAGGCGGCGGCTGCAGAGGGGGCGTCGGCGGTGGTGTTCGTGGGCAGCTCGCGCCGGCGGTACGTCATCAGCGCCAGGCACCTCCGCCACCCGCTGATCGCCGCGCTCATTGACGACGCCGGCGGCGGCGGGGTCGGGGATGGTAGCAAGGAGCCGGTGGCCGTGAGGTGCGAGGTCGTGCTGTTCGACCACCTGCTGTGGATGCTCGACAACGCCGTCGACCTCCGCGCCGGCGCCGGCGGCGAGGACGACGCCGTCAGGGAGCTGGCCCAGCTCTACGCCACGTGATAGCAACTTGCAGGTGATCGACTCGTCGGTTCATATATAGTACTCCGTATATGATCAACGATGCTGCATGAACCATATGCGTGTTGGTGTTGGTCCTCTCTGAATTTGATTGATTCTTTTTGTGTGTTCTTGCGCGAGATCTAAGATTCTCGGGCGCCAAGTGGAAGATACTCCCTTCGTTCGGAATTACTTGTCTCGGAAATGGATATATCTAGAATTAAAATACGTCTAGATACATTCATTTTTGCAACAAGTAATTTTGAACGGAGGGAGTATATACCTTGGGTTCGTTCGTAACTTCGTATAGGCAGAGCTGCTTCATAGCTAATGGTTTTGCATTTGTTCTAGCTAATGGTTTTGTATTTGTTCTAGCCAATCACCGTAAAACTTGTATTGTTGAGATGTGTATTTTTGCATTTAATTTGTGTCGTGGCGATCTAAAGCGTGTGTAAACTGTAAAGAGGTCGTGCTGCCTAAAGTAAATTATGTATACTTTCATTCCATTTCATCTCTGGCGACCTGTGATCAGTTTATTTATGTAAAGAGAAAAAATGTGTATATTCTTTTCTGTAAAGAAATGTGGCCTCTTAGGTTAATTTCAGTAAAAAAGGAAACTACCCTGCAAAACAAAAAATCAGTAAAAAAGAAGACACAGAGGATCCTTCCACCAAGTCAAATTCAGCGGCGATCGAACAATAATCTCCGCCGTAGAGCTCAAAGACAATGTATTGTGTGCATACTATAATAAGCTTGCTTTGTAGTTCGTGGATGCATATAGATTGTGTTTTCATCTATATGAGTATATGATGCCGTTCGCCCATATAACTCGTGTTGAAGTCTTATGGCGTCGTCAAATATGAAAACTTACTTTTAGTTGAATGAAACGAACTATGTAGAATGACTTCCCTTGGATTTTTTGAAAGGTTGAGATAAAAGGCATATTTTTATTTATAAATCATAGATGAATCTATGTATGTCATGATATAAATGCAATCCGCTTGTGGGGCGCCGCATGCGACATTGGCTTGGCCAACATCTTGCCGGAGTAGTATCCATGCGGCATTAATACTCTCTCTGATGTAACCCCTCCCCCGTCCTCCCTAGCCCATAGCTTAGGGCATCTTCAACCCTGACCCTTAAGCGGACACCGAATCCGTCCGCGGACACTGATGTGAGAGGTGACCATCCAACCCTGCTCACATACATTTGAAACCGGATTACAACAAACCGACCAATTTTCATCAAACATGGTAGAATTCAGCGAAGTTCGGATATAATTTAGCTAAACCAAGCACACAACACTCAAAGTAACTATAGAAAATAGCACAATTCATCCACAAATAGCATCCAAATATATCTAGTACATTAATTCATCCATAAATAGCATGTAAATAGCACAATCCATCCATAATAGTTTTTCAAAATCATCGATTCAAATTCAACAATACTAGAGTTAGAACCGACACATGCTGTCCCACACATACTGCCCCTTGAGCTTCATCCAACAATGTATGCGCGCGAATGGCCTGCCCCCGGTCCTGTAGTACATCATGGCAGCGATGCATGCTATATAACATGTAGAGAAACATTTAGTGACTAAATGAATAACATGTATAGCAACAAGAAGCAAAACCTACGATCTCCATGGTTGATGCGCACAATGGACACATTGCCTCCACTCATCCAACCACGCCGCAAAACTTCATGACAAAATTGCACATGGTGTACCACCGATGTGTTAGCGACTTCACATGGCTTTCATGGATGACGTGCATATCATAGGGTGCGAAGTACTTCCGCTCATGAAACGAAGCGTGCAAACTTTGCCAAAAAAAAGTCAGGCCCTCGTTCATCCCTATAAAGTATGCAAATACGTCCAACCATGCATCACAAATAACTCACCCTCGATCATCGAGTACCCCATCATCATGTTACTCTAGGAAACAACAAGAAGTTCAAAAAAAGATCAATGGCATTTGACCGAACACCTGTCGGGCGTGGTCCGCCATGGACGGCATCAGCATTGGTGCGGGGGGTACCTAGCTGCAGAGGGAGTCCTGAGTGGACTATGACATAGTCCAAGGTAGGCAGGCGCGTGAGTGGGGTCTCCGGATGTCCGAGGATGGCTGGGCGGCGATCCGAGAGGTACGACGACGTCAGATGAGGAGTTGGTGGACGAAAGGAAGTGGGAGTAGGGGCGAAGTGGAAGAAAAGGGGAGCGGGAGGAAGATTTGAGTGTGTCGAGGGCGTCGTAGTCCTAGGTGGCTGGTGTCCGGACTCCCGCAAAGCCCTCTAACTTGCTTCCAATTGGGGAATTTGATTTTTTGCCACCACTTACTTTGGACTTTGATATTTTGCCACTACTTTGTAATTTGATAAGTTTTTACACGCGGATAATGGGCGAATATCAGCTCAAGGAGGTAATCCGAGCGAACGTTTGTTCCCCAATGGGAAGGGATGAACAACATTTTCATTCACTAAAAGAAGAAACGACTCTCACAGAGATGGCGATGCTGGAAGCGGTGTTGGCTGGAGCTACGATGACTCGATAAGGCTGTCACCGTCGGTGACAGAACCTAAAACCGAGGTTTTTTTGAGATAAAACCAAGGGGGTAGGGGGTGGGAGAGTTGAGGGGGTAGAAGGCAAGAGCGACTCTAGCAGCTCACATGGCCACTCTCTTTTCTGCCCACGAGCTAGCGAGCTGATCTTGACCGTACCCACAAGCACGATCAAACGGCTCCGGAATGGACCGATCTGAAATCGCGCCGGTAGTCCGGCGCCTAGCCAGTAGCGCCCCCGAGAAAAGGCAAAAGAAAATAAAAAAAATGGAGGAAAAGAAAAGGGAAAAGAGTGGACGTGTGCCTTCGTCCAGCCGCGCACATCCCCGTAGCCTTCGCCGGCCCGACCCACCCCGCCATTACTGCAACCCAACCATGTGATGCTGCGGAGGAGGCGCCATTAAGCCACCACCACGCCCTCTCTTCTCTGCGACGATGCGCGCGAACACGCTGAGAGCAGCAATGGCGACGGCGAGGATGGCGGTGTCGTCGCTGTCGTCGCCGGCAAGGGCGCTCTCGTCCGCGGCCGCGGCCCCTCCCGCCTCCGGCGTGTCCATGGTGCAGGGCGCGTCGCGCGGCATCGGGCTCGAGTTCGTGAGTGCCTCCCAATCCTAGCTCGCTCCTTCTCCTTCTTCCTCTGTCCTATCCCCATTCCGTTTGCGCATCAGCCCTCGCGCTCCTCCGTATTTCCGATTCGCTCACCGCGTACCCGCATTGCCCGCGTGCGGCAGGTGAGGCAGCTGCTGCGGCGGAGCGACCAGGGCCGCGTCGTCGCGACGTGCCGCGCCCCCGACTCCGCCGCCGAGCTCCAGGAGCTGAGGCGGGAGCACGCGGGGCGCCTCACCGTGCTGCCCCTGGACGTCACCGACGAGAGCACCATAGAGGTAACGGGGTAACCTCTCCTGCTTTTCCCCTCCTCACAGATTCCCAAGGTGATACAGTGATAGCACGAGTGGATCGAACCTTTCCATGGCAGGCCGCCGCAGCCGCAGTTGGGGAGACCCACGGATCTCTCGACCTACTGATCAATGCCGCCGGCATACTTTCGATCCCAAATGTGATACAGCCAGGTCCGTTCCTCACATTGGAGCAATTGCTTTCCAGCTTGCATTAGGTGGGTTATGGGATTATAATGACTTATCTGAAACCAGGTTGCTCTGACCTCATGTTGCAGAGACCTCGTTGAGCAAAGTTCAGAAGTCATCCCTGCTACTGGCATATGAAGTCAATGCCGTCGGTCCTATTCTAGTCATCAAGGTAGCGATTACCGCCTTTCTTTCTGCTCCGAATTGCGTCTGCATTCTGCTTATCACCGCGCTGTGCTTACCCCAGTGTCTGAACTGAGCTTTGTTCTTGTCAGCATATGCGTCCGTTCCTGAAGATTGGTGCGAGCTTGGAAACAGGGAAAGGTTTCTCGTTGGTTGCAAATATGAGCGCTAGGGTTGGCTCGATAGGAGACAATGCTCTGGGAGGCTGGCATTCGTACAGAGCTTCTAAAACAGCACTGAATCAATGTATGTTAACAGCAAGATGCATGCTCCATTCAGATTTCACTAGCTTGTTATTGAGTAGTTCATACCATTCTTGTTAATTTGTCATCAGGATAGTTTTCCCTCATGCAGCGTTTTGTCAATTTGATCCAGAGCAAACTAATCATACCACAATTATGTATGTACCTTTCTTTGTCTTAGATTTCTGAAATACGTGCATTGGTCATGTCTTTGCAGTGACAAAGACTGCATCAGTCGAGTTGGGCAAGAAGGACAACATCGCCTGCATTTTGCTGCATCCAGGAACAGTCGACACCGATCTCTCACGGCCGTTCCAGAGAAACGTGGCCAAAGATAAGCTCTTCACGAGGGAGTTCTCTGTACAGAAGCTCCTGTCTATCATCGACAATGCCAAGAAGACTGACAACGGGAAGTTCTTCGCTTGGGATGGCCAAGAAATTCCTTGGTGACCACTGTTTTCCAGTCAGTGATCATCTCTACCCCAATTTTCTTCTTCAGAACCACCTGTGTGTCTTTTTAGCCTTAAATTCAAATGCCTGAACCCAGCTCTAGTAAGACCATTGATATGAAAAGCATGTGAAGTATATTTCCCTTTCCTCTTCATTTTTAACTACTTGAAAATTATGCATATATGATGTTTAGCGCTGAGTACAACTTTACAAGTCAAGCTTGTTTCCTTGTATATGTATAAGCACTGGTGCCTACAGTCTACTAAATATACACACACTTGCAGTGGGATCTTTCTTGTCTCCCAGTACATGTCAATTGCACAAAGCAAATTCTGGTGAGAAGTAACCTCTTCATAGCTGTGTATCTCTTTATCCTGTTAAGTCATACACAACTTGTAGTTAGATCCCAGCTTAATCTCTGTACCAGCATCAACGTTCAAATCGTCCCAATTCGTGCTATCCCTGTGAGTGAAGAGTAAGGCTGCGAGTTCGTTTGGCACTTGGCCGATTTAGTATGAATCCTGATGGGCATGGGGATAATTTGTACAAATCATCGTCGGTTTGATCGAATCTGAATATTATAAAGGCTGGCTGTCTTGTGGGAAAGAACCATCAAACTGTAATGGATTTCGGCAAATCCATGTTTTTTCAGTGTCCTGTGGCAAAAGCAAAGTTTTAATGGTGTCTAGGGGCCAATTCTGCCAATTTGTTATGGCATGAGATCCTTGTGTTTTGCCTTTCTTAGGAACATGGTAAAGCGGCAACTCATAAATATTTTGCATCCCAAGTAGCTATGTCGCTCCATGATCAAGGAGGAAAAAGGGCGTAGCATTATAGTTTGGGCTAATCTAATATTTTAAAACACCAGAGACAAACATATAAGGCTATAGATTATGACATTACACAATAGCAAGAGCAAGCACCAAACTTGTGACAGAAACCACCTTCATGCCATGTTCTTCACATAACTGTCAAATGTACATGTTGTATCAATCAGAAAAATATCACACATCACCACAATACCTTGCAGATCCTATTAGAACACCTTATGTGCCGCAAATATTCCTGACAAAAGAACATTAATATGATTAATCAGTTGTACATATAACATTAAAGTACACCGATGGTTGTTATCGAATGTCTGTGCATGCACCTGCAAAGAGGTTGTAAATGGCCTTATGGACAACCTCTGTCTGGATCCACAGAAAAATAATACCATGTCAGTAACCTTCTATATGCCTTAGTATTTGCGTGCATTAGTTTTGGGCTAGCAAGTTAAAGCTTTCTTTTTCTGTTACCAAGCTGGTTCTTAGGTATAGAGTATAAACAGATATAGTTTCCAATTATTATCAAGGTTCTGATACTTGAGATATTACGAACTCAAAAGGCACTCTGGAGAATTTCTCATTCGATCGAACAACTAGATACAAATGATCTAATAAATCCTTTTATATAGTTCAATTGAAATGGCTCTTTGCATTCATCCATTTGAGAACCATGGTACCGTAAGAAAGGTGATGAAAAATACTTACTAAATAAGAAGAATATGTATGGGTATTACGGATCTTGATCGGCTGCCAATCTTGATACATGGGAGCTGCACATTAAAGAAGAGTAGAAATGGTTAATAAGAGTAGGAAAAGATGACCAAAGATAGCGCTGCACAATATTTAAAAGCTGAAGCTTTGCACTAATACTTAACCTCAGGATTTTCTATGTTGTGACCAATCAAAATTGTTCTACAAAGCCTGTTAGTGCTATTGTGTGTCAACTCCATCACTGTAATACCTCTAGTACTACCTTTTGATACAAAAGGGTATGCCCCATTAACTTAACTGTGTGCTTCCCCTGTTCTTTTCTATAAAAGGAACTATGGACAGGAAGATGGGCAGATTGTCTAGGTACCTATGTTTGCCACAGAGAAATGAGCATCTTCTGCACATTACTTCAAAAGAACAAACAAAAGCTATGAAAAGATAAATATAGAAAATTATTAGTGTACCTTTGCAGTCGTTGTAACCATCACCAATGTACTTCACACCTTGCAAAACTGGACATTCACAAACTGTTCCAGTGGAGGTGTCCTACATGTGCACAAAACAGCATACATGAAGCTAAACAGAACAAATATTTAGCACATGAAGTAACGTAATCTGGAGAAAATAGAACAGTAGAACATGTACCTTGCACGCAGTCACGTTAGCAGCCATATCTTGCCAACAACCGCCATTGTTGTCCAAGCATTGATTGGTTTGTATGTCTTCTTCTTGATCGTTAGACAATTTACAATAAGCTTACATCAGTAGTTATAAGAGGCGTCGTATAGAATTTTGGGTTATATGGTGTAGGTTAGAAATATATTACCTACTATTCTACGTTTATAAGCTTGTTGCCGTCTATACCATTGTACATATATTTGTGTAGTGTCTACAACATTATACTAGTCCATTGTAGGTTGCTATCGTACACAATGCATTGTAGGCGTTTCTTCACAACCCTGGTCTCTACTACTCCCTCTGTTCTCCAATATAAGACCTTTTAGATTTTTCTTGATTCATATGTATCTAGGCACATTTTACTATATGTTCACTCATTTTAGTATATATGTATGTAGTCAATAATTTGAAATAGCTAAAAGGTCTTATATTAGGGAACGGAGGAAGTACTATTCATGCTGTAATGCATGGAGTTAGTAGGGTACGATTTGGGAACTTGGCAGAAAAGAGACATGTGTGTGATGACCATCCTAGCCCCATGGGCTGCTGGTCCATAACACTACTGCTTACATACTACCCCTTTTAGTTAATGTTTTATATTTCTCCATTATTCATGGTAAATATAGACAACTACAAAAAATCATGGGAACCAACAAATCAAACCTTCATTTGAGCAAACAGATGGTTTATTATTTTCTTGGAAGCTGGTGCAGAGAGCTCTAAGAACTGCTCCTTTTTCAAGTTTCCCTGGGAAATAAAGATTCAGTAAGCAGTTAAGGCTCATCAGTCACCACACCTCATGTAGCTATTCCATTTTTTTAAATTGGAGGGACAAACACTGACCTCTGTATTGTCTATTGTTGATTACAAGTGTTGGTAACATAGTAATATCACTATGAGAACCCTTGCCAATCTGTGCAAAATAGAAGATGCTTCTGCATTTCAGAGGACTAACTTGGTAAAGGCAAAAACTAAGATAGTGCTCAACTAGTAACCTGTGTGTCTTGTTCAGCTTTTAGCGCAGGATTTTCCTCGTCCGCGGAAGGATCACCAACACACATGTCAACCTCTTTTTGATTAAGGCCTGCAAAATACATACACATTCACCACTATTATTATAACTGCACTTCAGTTTCAAACATAGAGCAGCTGGTGCAACATTAGCATACCAAGTGATTCGATTACTCTGTCAGCACATCTTTTACTGTAGTTCATTTCCTTCATTGAGCACCTAATAGCAAAATGAGTCACATAGTCCCACCATAACCAAGGCTTCCCAGTCCTCTTTGCAACTTTGAACACACAAAGTTGATGTAATTTCTGAACCACTACATCGCACCCATCATACCTATGTTGTTCCGGGTCTGGTGCACAATATCTCCCATAGTTGATACATTGGGACCTGCACATTTTGCTATTTTGGTAACTCTCTGGGCAATGCCAAGTAATGTAATGAGGAGTGAACTGCGTGTAGCCCTTCTTCTCAAGTGTCTGGGCTACACCTTTAAATCTCTTTAGGAAATCAACCTGGCTATCGCATTTTGGACCACATTCATCATTACTGTTTGTCCAGAATTCATACTCAGCACGCTCATCAGGGTACAATCGGGACTCCCCCCAGTTGAAGCTTACATTAACCAAATCGACATTATCAATTGCTTTCTTGAGACTGTTCCCAAGGCTTCTGGTTATAAGTGCTGAAGGAATGGTGACATCCTGTAAATCATTTGTTGCCTGGCTGCTTTCTGATTTGTCGACTGTAAATAATGGTTGAGTTATTTGATCAACAAGAAGAACTGCTGCTGCTCCTGCTTTCTGCCCATTCCTCACCTTGGTTGTGTAGTAACATTCTATTTAAAGCAATCCAACCATATTGTATTACTCCATCGGGTCATAAGTACATGTGGTATTATAAATAGATGTAGGAGTACTTTAAAAAGTATGCATATAGTTTTAAATACTTCAGTTTACATAGTTTAATCTAAAAATGTACATTAATAAAAGTATAAGTTTACTCAAATGAAATGCTACAATGCATTGAAACATTCTAGTTAGGATTATAGTTGCAATGTCCAAAACTATTACCTTTTTTTAATGCAAAACTATTACTACCTGGTAACCATACACACTAATTATGCCCACGGTTTACGGATAACATCGCAACTATGATGACATAACCTAGCAACTAGTGACGGCGAATAAATTCGTTGAAACATGACAACATGATCTTATTTGAAGCCCATGCCGAGTCGAACTCACCGGTGAAGACTAATCAGATTTACAGTTTGTGAGATAAATCATTTTGTAAATTCAGATTTAGCAATTATTGCAATGAAGTCAGCATGTGGCTGTAGATTTGTGCATGTATGCGCATGCTCTCTCTAAAGTAGCACACGTGTGCTAGGTAGATTTTTCCACTTAGTTAATAGAGGTGTATGTAGATTGTGCATCGAGTCAACAAAAAATCAAGATAACATCAGCCCTCCTTCATCTTTTTCTTTGTTATATCTTTATCTTTTTCTTTGAGACTAAATTTGTCTAAAGTTGCCGCACTCAAGGTTAAGCAAGTTTGACCAATTTATGTGAGTGTTTGATTCAAGCCACACCTTAGACAAGTCACACTACCAGAGTCCCACATCACATACACTTAAAAAGTGTGACAAGATTTTCTTAGGCTTGCCAACTTATGACTCTCATTTTAAAGAACTGCAAGTTTGACAACATTATATGGCAAAGTGTGGCATTGTTAGGCCTAGAACCAAACATCCCCTAGTTTTCGTGCGCAAAAAAGAAAACATATTTTAATATACATTTTCACTCCTAAATTAGGAACAATCAAACATGGTGCAGATTTCTAGTGGTGAATCGTCTTTCAGAACCTTTGAACTGTCGATGACACAAGACGCTTCATTTTAAAGAAAATGTAAAGCAATTAGTAGGTGTTCGAAGTGTGTCTATTTACTCAAATCCTTATTGGACAAGCATTCTGTTTACATATGCATGATTTCACGTGAGTGCTGAATTATATTTCATATAAGTATGGATATATTCCTACAATTTTCTAGATACCATACATCATTATATAGCAAGAAAATGCCAGTGCTAGGTTTTAGAATTCTACTCTCTCCGTTCCTAAATAATTGTCTTTTTAGAGATTTCAAATGAGCTACCACATACGGATGTATATAGACATAGTTTAAAGTGTAGATTCACTCATTTTACTCCGTATGTAGTCACTTGTTGAAATTTCTAGAAAGACAAATATTTAGGAACGGAGGGAGTAGATTAATAATTATCATCGCTTGTGTCACTTACCTATGGGGGACAAATAGTATCACCTTGTCTGAGTTTAGGGCATCTCCAACGGCAATGCGCAAATTTTCTCCTGCGTCCATCCGTGGATATGGATGCGGAAGACTGTCATCCAACCGTAGCTGCATATATTTTAAACTCTTTTTTAACAAACCAGATGAAATTATTAGGTTCCTTGGCTTCCACGCGGGTTATTGGAGGCGTTTGAATGCGGCGAGGAGGCATGTTCAGTCGGGCGTGCAGTGGGCGGCGCCCACGGCCGGCGCGCCGCTTCAATGGTGGAGGCAGTGAGAGGTTGTGTCCGTCCTGAGCCGTCTTCAATGTGAAGTGACATGAATGCGAGCAGCTGGCGCCGGGAGGGAAGCGCGCGGGGTAGGGAGTAGGGGTTTTGGGAGGGCAAGGGCGGTCAGAAGTGGGCATGGCAGTAGTCCGGACTCTCGCAAACCCCCCCATGTTTATCTTTGTGGGAGAAAGTACGTACGGACCGCACCGCAGACCGATACAGGACAACATCGGATGGCTTCCACGGTCTGGACATATGCGGAAGGTTTTAGTCAATATTGGAGATGCCCTTAATCAAGAAAAATAGTATCACATCGTTTGGGTTTATAATTTGGATACACATTTGTAGGCATTTATACTAATAAACCATGTGTAATATGCCGCAAAAATCTAATGATATTTGTAGGTATATAACACATGTTTCGTTGCTCAGATTGAAGACCTAAAAAACCCATTGCCTGACTAATAAGGGGGTGTTTGTTTCCAGGGACTTTTTTGTGTAGGGACTAAAAAAAGTCTCTTTTAGAGACTTCTTTATCAAACGGGAGGGACTTTTTAGGGACTAAACTAGGTATTTGGGACTAAATGAAGAAGACTCTTAAGGTGAGTCTTTTTTGGGACTTTTCCAACAATGCTCCTCTATGCATTCATTGGCCTGCCACCTCATGATGTTGTTTGATTGTTATTTCTTTATATACTAGGGGCAACATGGTCATTTAATAATCTTCAGGAAGGGACTAGAGACTTTTTAGTCTCTTGAAACAAATAGAGAGGTACTTACTAGAGACTTTTTAGTTGGGACTAGAAAAAATCGTAGGACTTATGAACCAAACAGGGCCTAAATCCGGATAAAGGCAGTACTGTGAAATTAAGGATATCAGCGGCAGAGAATACGAAATTTATCATCAGATGTAGGAGTATCTATCAAAAGGAGGACAAATTCATGTGTTATGTACCTCCCCTGTCGACGAGCAAGATAACAGGAAGCGCGCCGGCTGGGCGAGAACGGAGAGAGATGCCAAAGTCATCGAAGCTCGTGCAGGCCATCGTGTTGCGCCTTGGGTAGACGACCACGCCGGTCATGGAGCCACCGTGCTGCGGGAAACCGAAGTCGGTGCTGGCACAGCCGTATGTGCCCTCGAGCTCCGGCGGTGACATCACCCTCAGCCGGCTGTTCCTCCGGGACACTTCGGACTGCCCATGGCAGCAGCCCAAGATCGCTGCCCAAATGATCAGTAGCCTCAGCATGTCGGCTGTGTCGATTGGATTACGGAGCTAGTGATGCTAGCTGCATGCTATTGTAACTATGTTCATGTGATGGATGGAGAAGAGGACGAGAGACACGGCGGGGAAAACAGAGCAAGTGAGCGGCCGGCCGGCAGCGAAATGTCGGGGATGACAGCGACGGACGTCTTTGGGAATTTCCGGGCGTTTCTTGTGTTCACTAGCATACGAATTTGGAAAAATAAAAGAGTTTGTGCGATAATTAAATTATACAAGTCGTGAATGACCAAGTACAATCCTAGAATGCTCCCTAGAGCCAGCTGAGAGGGACGTTTTGACTCTGGGTGCATATGCCCCGTAATGACAGTCAATTCAAAATAAATAACCCCCTCAGTTTCTAAATATATATATTTTTAAAAGATTTTAATATGAACTACATAGGAGCAAGTTCATATTGAAATCTTAAAAAAGACTTATATTTAATTAAAAATAAACTTATATTCAGGAACAGCGAAAGTAGCAAATAAAATTTAAAAATTCTGATTTTTTTTGTTAAAGTTCTTGTTAGTGTAACAAGTGTGCTTGCTAATTTTCATGTGAAACGGGATGACGGTGCTTCCTCGATGAAAAAACAAAAATATAACATTTGAAGCTAACATTTGTCGTTTGATTTTTTTTGCACTGATTAAAATACTTAAATTTTCCTTGTAAAAATTTATAGGCAGCGTTCTGGTGTGACGATGAGCACATATATTTTTTAGAAAAATTTTGTTGACATTTCCAGAAAACTTTTTTGATGGGCAGGAGCATAAGCTCCTAATAGCTGAATTGAATTTCCGCCTAGAGCTTACTCTAACTAGTTTGTAAACACTTCTGCAACTGAAGGTCATAAACCCTTGTACCTCCTAAATGTTAAATATGTTGGCAGGAATCTTGAGTTTGTGTCATCGTAGGATCGATTTTTCGGATTTACTGAGTTTTGATCCATGTGTCTTGGTGCCTTTGTTGGTTTGGATTTTTGTGGAGTTGGAATATTTCCTCGGTGATATGGCAAAGATCTGGTGGCTCACATTTTGCATTTCAAGGGAATCCCCAAGTTCGTTCATGGTTCATGATTTTCCATCTTTTTAGATGGGCAATTCTAGGGGCTCTATGAGACCTCTTATGCAGAGGTACGAGTGGTGTCATGACCACTCTAGTCTTTTTATTTCATGGTAGTACGTGTCTTATTTATATCACAAGAATTATAATACAAGCCATATACACACTGACCTCATAAAATTAAACAAATAGCAGAATGCTGGTCTTTGCACATAGAAACATCAGTCAAGAAGTAAAATTATAAACAAGAACAAAAAACCTTTGGGCTTGACACCAATGTCCGTCACCTGTCTCTGACACCACCACCACAACCATCAAAGGAAAAAAATGATGTGTCTCCTCCACACCTGAGCTCGACGCGGCTACATCCTGATATGTAGGTTTGTGGACCTTCAAGGTGGCTCGCCAAAGGTGAAATCATTACCGTGAACAAATCAGACCGGGGCAACACCCCGGACACGCCATCAAACTCCAGATCTGCCACCCCCACATAACTAAGACGCCGGAGGAGGAAACCATATCTGTCATCCACGTACCGCAAACCCAACACACGATCCACCATCTTCCAGATGCCACTGATGCAGGCCACAATCTGCATCCGCTCCTAGACTACCTCCCAAAACGCCATCGCAATGGCGGGGCCCGAGGACATATGTCCACCATGAGAATGCCGCCGCCACACCATCCTTGTTTGAACAGACTGGATTTCAAATCCATCCCCAACTATATGACCGATTGTCTCGTTGGAGTAAAATCTAAAGAAACTTTATTCAGCGCCGCCATCATCGCCGCCGAAGCCAAGGCGATGAACTGCCTAAAAAATTAAACTATGTTGGGTTAAAAATATCCACACGTGTGGATCCGGCGACCCTCCTTACCACAAGATGGCCGGGGACGTCAGCGGAGGGAGCCGCCGAAGGGCGGTGCTGGAAGGCTAGCTCTCATGGCGGTGCTAGGGTTCCAGTCATATGAGACGAGAGGATAATAACACCGATCCAGTCTAATTGAAATGTCCTTGTCGAAGTCATGGTAGAATTTCATCTTCCACTAATTATTACTCCCTCCGTCTGGAATTACTTGTCGTAGAGATGAATAAAAATAGATGTATGTAGAACTAAAATACGTTTAGATACATCCATTTCTCCGACAAGTATTTACGGATGGAGGGAGTACTTTAGAGCAGGTGTATCTGAAATAATTTATTGTAATTTTTAGTTTTGTAGAAGTTATGTTGTAGTTGAATCTTTGGTAAAAAAAACAATGTAACTTTAAAGGCTAACTGAATGCATGTGCATGATTTCCTAGTCGAGCGGCGGCTAGCTAGGACGCAGGACAGACATGCCGATTGTTTTGGAGTATTTCTTTTTGGGCAGCGCTAGGGCCAGCCTCAGACCACTCGTGAGCCCTACGAGCTTGGGCAGTTATTTCTCGTACGTACGTACAGAATCCAGCCTATATAAACTGCTTCCACAAATCATGCACTTTAGTGGGCCGTTAAGTGGGCCTCTAATTACATGTAATTATTTGACGATATGCACCCTTGGATTTAGTAGGATGCAACTTACAGATTTTAGGTAGGTTGCTCGTGGAAGCGAAACATTTAACCAACACCAAATTTGCATCAGATGCACGTGCTTCTATACCTTTGTTTGTAATTTGTTTATGTTTGCGTTGATTGGAGAATTTGCTTATGCGGTGAATGTTTGCTTTGATTTATTTAAAAAAATTGTCCTATCTAACATTATATTATGTTTCAGAAGCATGACAATCTTGCTCTCATCGGCTATAGTAATAGAGAATTGCTTCGAATATGCTTCTGTCAAAAATAAAAAATTATTTCACATGTTTCAGAAGCATCACACTCTTGCTTCCATCGACTAGAGAATTGCTTCGAACCTTCTTCTGTTAAAAAGGAAAAAATAATCCATATGTTTCGGAAGCATCACGATCTTGCTTCCATCGAAAAGATGACTGCTTTGAACCTTCTTTTGTCAAAAAAGAAAAATATTCCACATGTTTCGAAAGCATCACGATCTTGCTTCCATCGACTAGAGAATTGCTTCGAACCTTCTTCTCTTAAAAGGATAAATAATCCACATGTTTGGGAAGCATCACGATCTTGCTTCCATTGACAAGACGACTGTTTCAAACCTTCTCCTATCAGAAAAGAAAAATATTCCACATGTTTCGGAAGAATCACGATCTTTTTTTTGAAACAAGGCAAAAGACTTGCCATTTTCATTGATTAAGAAGGAGTGAGAATTGCCTGGTTAATTGACGGAAAACCGGGCTAAAACCGATACAACCAACCCACATAAAATGGGTACCATCGGCCAACCTGGCCACCGACATGGGATCACATAGCTACAAAGAGAGAAAGACACCCGCCGAGCAGTCGCAAGCGTCATCGTCATCACCGGCTACCTCCGAACGGGCGACTCCGACTTCACCGTAGACCACCATCGTCGAAGCCGACCCGCAAACAGCTGCACAGAAACCATGACGGCACATGCCAACAGAAGGCCACACGCGCGAACAACCGACAGCTCCGACTCTGACGACGATCATCACAAGGGAAATATGCAGGACTTGCGCCGATCGTGCCCTAAAGAGCACCTCGGACACGCCGGGAAGATCCGACTACCGAAGCCCGAGCCGCGACCAAAGCTCATCTCGACGCCATCATCGTTGCCAAACAGAAATCAGCGCCCCCGAAAAGGCTGCCTCAGCAAACTACGCGGTGAAGATGCCGCAAACCACGCGGCGAAGATGACGCAACCCCTGCGGCGAAGATGCCGCCATCCACCGGTCTCCCAGTCATAGCCGACTCCGAGACGATGCCCCCAAGGAGGAGAAAGACGCGAAGACGCCTCCATCGCCCGATCCAGCGGATCTGAGGTTTCCCTCCGGAGCCAAAGCCGCGGGGAGAAGCAGGAGCACCTCCACGATGACGCTTCCAAGAAAGATCACGGCACCCGCGGGCGCCGCCGTCACCGGCTCCGACGAAGACCGGAGCAAGGATTTCTCCCGGAGTTGCGCCGTCCACCATCCGCCACCGATCACCGCCTACCAACCACCACCCCTGCTGAGAGCAACCTCACTCCGGCCGCGGGATCCCTCGATCCACCGCAACCAGACACGCACCACCTCCCGGGCCGTAGCCGCCGCCCTGGCAACCGAAGACCTCCACCGCGCGGCCGCCGCACATAGCACAACCAGAGAGGAAACCCGAGCAGGGAGGGGGGGCTGCCACCCCACCCCAACTCGCCGGACAAGCTGCCAGATCCGCCACCTCGTCAGCCAAAACACCAGCCGGCACCACCACGACACCAAGCAGGAGAACGCAGCAAGGGCCCCTCCACGACGAGCAGCAGGGGTCCGAGCCTCCCTCAAACCCAGCACCACCGTCCGCGCCGGCCGCAGCTCGCGAGGATCCAGATCAGGCCCGCACGGGTGCCACGACCGCGACCGCCGCTCGCAACGGCGCGCCCAGCTCCGCGACCAGATCCCGAGCCTCGCGTCGGAGACCTCCTCCACCGCGAGCCAGGACGCCGCCCCGGAGCCAATCGCCGGCCAGCCGCCGCCCACACGCCGAATCCCCCTCCCGCAAGCGAGTAGCAGCCAAAGAAGCGCCCCGCCGCCGCCGGCTTCACGCAGGCTTTGCCTGCCGGAGGCCACCGGCGACGGCGAGGGGGAGAAAGGAGACGGGAGGGGCGGAGCTGTGGGGGTGGGAGCCGCCGCCCGTGTCGCCCCGGGGAGGGAGCGGCGCGGGGGCGGCATCGAGCAGTGGTATTTAAGAATCACGATCTTATCTCCATGGACTAGAGAATTGCTCCCAATAAAATGTTATTTTCCTTCCATTAAAGAGAAACATATTTCATCATAATTACACATGGTTCATACTAATTCTTGGTTAGTTTACA